ATGCTGTTCTCGGACAAGCTGACAAGCTTATTGGTGAGGCTCCTGCCTTTGCTTTGTCTCAGCAGGAAGCAGCATATCTCTCTCTCTCTCTCTCTCTCTCTCTCTGTGTGTGTGTGTGTTTGTGTGTGTGTGTGTAAAAAAGAGAGTGGCCTCATGCTGTTCTCGGACAAGCTGACAAGCTTATTGGCAAGGCTCCTGCCTTTGCTTTGTCTCAGCAGGAAGCAGCAGAAAGCAGCATCTCTCTCTCTCTCTCTCTCTCTCTCTCACACACACACACACACACACACACACACACACACACAGAGTGGGGGAAGAGGACTGGCAGACTAAGGGTAGGAGAGAGCCAGCTCAATAAGAATGTGTGTCAGCTTGTCGTGAAGCCAGCTTGCCAGGTGAGCAGAAGATTGGAGAGAGGGAGAGGGGGGGGAGAGAGAGGGAGGGAGACAAAGAGGGAGGGGGAGAGAGAGAGAGAGAACTCATGCACAGCAGCCTCTATTTCTTTTTAATTAAACTCTTCAATCAAGCTCCTCCCCCCCCTCGCGCGTGCAGGTTTTGCGGCTTCCAGTGTTTTCTTTTCTCTGGGAAACGGGTCCAAGTGGCTCTTTGAGTGTTTAAGGTTGCCGACCCCTGACCATGGGAATGCTGAAATGGTCGAGTGAAAAATGGTCATAAGTCACTCTTTTCAGTGCTGTTGTAACTCCAAACAGTCACTAAATAGTTAGTTGTGGACTATCTGTATTGTGGTTGTAAGTTCAAGGACTTCTTGCAGGTGTCATTCAAATGTACCAGCTGTCAGCTGCCACTTTATCCTTGTTTGTGCTTCACTGCTATGCGGTGACAGAATGCTATGAACTGTGGGGAGTGGCAGTGAAGGAGGGGGGAAGACTTGGGGAAAACGAAAGTAAGTGCTGTATCTCCTGGAGATGCTGCCTCAAGGTCACCCAGCTGGAAGAAGAAGAGAGCCACAGTCCAAACTGCGCTTGGACTTACCATTATGAAAACATCTTCCCTCAACCTGATTGGTCACATGGGGATGGCCAATCAGAGACAACTAAGGGAGGGAAAAGTAGAACTTAGGGATTTGGGCACGCGATTCTCAGTTCTGGCTTTGCAATACTACAGTGCGCTTGACCTCTATATAGTTTATTATATACCTCAGGGCTCTTCAAACTTGGCCCTTTTATGACTTGTGGACTTCAACTCCCAGAATTTTAGGCAAGAAAAACCAAATGCACAGGTATAGTATAGGGGGTGCCTTGCTCAATAGTAGTAACTGTGAGAGGGACCTCGGAGTCCTAGTGGACAATCACCTAATTATGAGCCAGCAGTGTGCTGCAGCTGCCAAAAAGGCCAACACAATCCTAGGCTGCATTAACAGAGGGATAGAATCAAGATCACGTGAAGTGTTAATACCACTTTACAAGGCCTTGGTAAGGCCACACTTGGAATACTGCATCCAGTTTTGGTCACCACGATGTAAAAAAGATGCTGAAACTCTAGAAAGACTACAGAGAAGAGCAACAAAGATGATTATGGGACTGGAGGCTAAAGCATATGAGGAACGGTTGCTGGAATTGGGTATGTTTAATGAAGAGAAGGACAAGGGGGGACATGATAGCAGTCTTCCAGTATCTCAGGGGCTGCCCCAAAGAAGAGGGAGTCAAGCTATTCTCCAAAGCGCCTGAAGGCAGGACAAGAAGCAACGGATGGAAACTAATCAAGGAGAGAAGCAACCTAGGAATTTCCTGACAGAACAATTAACCAGTGGAACAACCTGCCTCCAGAAGTGATGAATGCTCCAACACTGGAAGTTTTTAAGAAGAGACTGGACAGCCATCTGTCCGAAATGGTGTAGGATTTCCTGCCTGAGCAGAGGGTTGGACTAGATAACCTCCAAGGTCCCTTCCAACAACAACAACAACAACAACAACTATTATTATTGTTGTTATTATTATTATTATTATTATTATTATTATTATTATTATTATTATTATTATTATTATTATTTCTCAGCCAGGCACGCTGGCTGAGGAATTCTCGGAATTGAAGTCCACAAGTCATAAAAGGGCCAAGTTTGAAGACCCCTGGATATACCTTTTTCGAGAAAATGGAGCCAAGGATCGTTTCTGTCCAGAGGCTTCAGTTGTGGCAGGCCTGACACCAGCCTTAGGCCTACTGCAGTAGTGAGACTTTTCCTGTGATCCTACAATATCCGAATCCCTTCGTTGTCTTTCTTTTGTCAGATACAATTGCCAGAAGTGTGGTGGTTCAGGCGACACCAAAGAAGCAAACTACAGATACCGACTTTCGCTGGAGGTAGCCGACACGCATGATGTTTTTGAGATCACCGTATTTGGAAGCTGCTTAGATGCCTATTTTGGAGCCACAGCAAAAGGTCTGCAAAGGTAAAGAAAGGAATTACTTCGCTGAGAAGAAGCGTGAGTGATTTAATTATATCTCTCAGAACAGTTGCTGTTCAGTTTGCTGCCTGGATACCAAGCTGGTATATATTAATAATGGCAATTAAATTTGCGGAGCTGTAAAAAGTGTGGCGAGGCCAGTGCATTAATTGGAGAAAGGGTCTCAACTTGGATCTAAAAACTCTTTTAGAGTTCACATTTCCCTGAATTCATGATTAACCTCGGGAAAATTATTCCTCACCTTTCTCTTCTCTTTATAAGAACCTCGTGCTATGTTCATTAACACCAATTCTCTATATTAAAAGAAAATATAGCTATTGGGTTTTTGTCCAGAACATTTAAATTCTGAACAGAAAATGAGTACCAGGCAGGTAACCATTTATTGTTATTTTTTTGAACAGCGTAAGATGGTCTTGATTTATTTAAAATATTTGGCAGATTTGATTGTTTCTGCGGCAGAGAAAGCTGAGCAAGTGATAAGGAATAAAGGGGTTTTTTTAAGAACGTTGCCAGAAACCGGTTCCTATCTTATTGCAACCTAGGGCTCCCACAGCCTTTGTGCTTTACTCACAAGTAAAATGGAAAAAAAGAAAAACGTGGGGGGAAAATTCCATACCGCCCACCTTTTGGCCTTGTGCTTTTGAGATGTGTGACTATGAAAATCCACTCCCCCTCCTTTGGCTGATAGACTACAGGAAGTCCTTGTTTAACAACCGTTCGTTCGGTGACCGTTTGAAGTTGCAACTTCAACTGCCATTCAATGGTAGTTACGACTGATCCTCCAAGTTACAGCCGTTGCAGCGTCTCTTTGGTCACGTGATCAAAATTCAGTGGCTTGGCAAATGGCCTAATGACGATTTGACTACTGGAACTGCCATCACTAAGCAGTGCAGTTGTGATGTTTTGCCTATTGACTACTTCGCCGAGCTATGGGAATAGTGGTTCCCGACTAGGGCCGTTAAGAGAGGAATACCTGTAATCTCACACGAGTTACATAGAATCAAACTTCATTTTTTTAAAAAAGAAAGGAAAACAGGAAAGAAAATTAAACTTTTGTATAAAAAAGCTTTTCAACCTTTCATATGATTAGAGGACTGAAGGCTAAAACATATAAGGAACGGTTGCTGGAATTGGGTATGTCTAGTTTAATGAAGAGAAGGCTGAGGGGGGACATGATAGCAGTGTTCCAGTATCTCAGGGGCTGCCAGAAAGAAGAGGGAGTCAAGCTATTCTCCAAAGCGCCTGAAGGCAGGACAAGAAGCAACGGATGGAAACTGATCAAGGAGAGAAGCAACCTAGAACTAAGGAGAAACTTCCTGACAATTAGAACAATTAACCACTGGAACAACCTGCCTCCAGAAGCGGTGAATGCTCCCAACACTGGAAGTTTTTAAGAAGAGACTGGACAGCCATTTGTCTGAAATGGCATAGGGTTTCCTGCCTGAGCAGGGGGTTGGACTAGATGACCTCCAAGGTCCCTTCCAAGATTTGCTGCATGGTGTCAGGAAGGGTATCCAGTCAGTAAATGCTCAGCTCCATCCAATCACCCCAATCTACCCGGAATTAAGGGATTACAGGGTCGTAAAAAGGGAGGGTTTTTTTTAATAGTCATATATAAAACCTGCAGTTGTAAAAGGGAGGGGAAGAGTAACTCAAATCTTACTTGTGATATTACACTATCTCTCAAAATTATATATCAGGTTTAAGACAAGCACAAGATGATATTGTTCTGCCCCTAATTTAAAGGAACTTATGTCAGGGTGTTCCAAGTTGCATAAAAACACGGAACTTACTGTGCATGTGCAGAGAGCTTAAATAACAGAGACAATAAGGCACTAATCAGTTGGCACAGAAAATAGTTCTAATGTTTTCCTATTCTTCTAGACAACAGACCGGCCTTGGAACAGATGTTATTTTCGTGCCAATTTGTTGCTTGAAAAAAAAAACCTCTTTCTTGCCAATTCCATTTTAAACTGAGGCCGGGGGTAGATATGTGATCCCATTCATTTCCAGCCTTCCCTGTAGCAACTTCTGCTTTTTCCTTTCTAAAGGAAAATAGATATATTTTTCTGACTAGTTGAAAGAGACTCGGTTATCGCTTTTATACCAGACTGTATGGTTCTGCTTGGAATGGAAAATGTGTGTACAAGTGGTCCTCATTTTACAACCATTCATTTATGACCGTCGGACGTTACAAATAAGAGGTTTTATTTGATTTCTCTAAATTCTGGAGGCCATAGGTCCCTCTCTTTTTTAATACAAACACCTCAATTAATACTTGAATTGAACAAGAGAAACTTTTACATCATTGCTAATAATAATAATAATAATAGTAATAGTAATAATAGTAATAATAAAAATAAAGTTGGAAGGGACCTTGGAGGTCATCTAGTCCAACTCCCTGCTCAGGCAGGAAACCCTATACCATTTCAGACAAATGGCTGTCCAGTCTCTTCTTAAAAACTTCCAGTGTTGGAGCATTCACCGCTTCTGGAGGCAGGTTGTTCCACTGGTTAATTGTTCTCACTGTCAGGAAGTTTCTCCTTAGTTCCAGGTTGCTTCTCTCCTTGATCAGTTTCCATCCGTTGCTTCTTCTCCTGCCTTCAGGCGCTTTGGAGAAGAGCTTGACTCCCTCTTCTTTGGGGCAGCCCCTGAGATATTGGAACACGGCTATCATGTCCCCCCTCTCCTTCTCTTCACTAAACTAGACATGCCCAATTCCAGCAACCGCTCCTTATATGTTTCTTATATTTTTGAATGAAATGCATTCGAACTTTTGCAGCATGATCCCTCTGAAAGGGTTTGTTCCGTTCTTTGGGCAGTTGTTTCGTGTGATTAACGGGACATTATGAGACCAAGCAAAGAAGAGGTTGTCCACAGTCCCTGGGATAATTCATGGTCACAGGAAGATGGGAGAAATCAGAGTGGGATCCTTTTCACATAAGCGTAGCCAATATGTTCATGGGCAGGCCAGTTGCTTATGCCAGTAGGAAACTATTGTGAAGTTAAATGGTATAGGATCATGGTGGCGAACCTATGGGATGCGTGCCACAGGTGGCACGCAGAGCCCTCTCTGTGGGCACGCGCGCCATCGCCCCAGTCCTAGGCCTTCAGCTGGGTTTTATAAAACCTTTTCGCTTTAGGCCTCCGCCGCCGTGTGCAAAAAAAAAAAAGGTTCAATCAATCAGTCAATTTCAACTTCTCATGGGGAAAAAAAGATCTCACAAAGTTGGAATTGATTGATTGAACTTTTTAGTCCCACCCAGTCTGCCGTTACCACCGCAGCCACGCCCACCCAATGGGCCACGCCCACCCAGCACCCGATGATACATAAGTGGGTTTTGGGTTGCAGTTTGGGCACTCGGTCTCCAAAAGGTTCACCATCACTGGTATAGGGTTTCCTGCCTGAGCAGGGGGTTGGACTAGAAGATCTCCAAGGTCCCTTCCAACTCTGTTACTCTGTTATTCACTGTCCCAGGGTCATGTGATCATCATTGGCGACCTTCTGACAGGCAAAGTCAACGGAGGAAGCCAGATTCACTTAACAACCGTGTGTCTAACTTAAGAAACACAGCGATTCACTTTACAACTGTGGCAAGAAAGGTCATTAAACTCACTTAACAACTATCTTGCTTACCCAACGGAAAATTTGGGCTCATTTGTGGCCGTAAGCCGAGGACCACCTATAGAGCGTGTCTGAAAACAATTGTCAGTTCCCAGGTTGAGAAGATCATTTCAGTTTAATTGACAACATGATTTCCATGTTTGTAGTCACACATGAGAGAAATACCAAAGGTTTCCTGGAAGAATCTGATGTATGAAGAACCATTTGGGGGGGAAAAAAATCAGCACACGGTTAAACCATCTGGAAGGATTTATAACTCTGCAGATAAATGATTTAGCAGCAAAAGAGGAATTGGGCCAGAAAGCAGAAATCTGTTGCTTTATTTATTGTGTCCCCCAGAATCCTGAATTCAGCATCTTTTAGGCTGGATTCTTAAAGGGCTTGTGGGAGATGTTCACCAGCAATGTGAAACATTTGTCAAAAGGCAAGGTCTGTTCACTTCCCTTCCTGGGTATAATTTTTAAAAAGTGCTGGGAGAGTGCTAATTAAATTAGAAATTAAATTATCCTCCATCAAGGTACATCGAAGAACTGAACCGAGAAGCAGGAGAGGACGAAAACGATGCCGTGTTTGGTGTAATATTTCGTGCCGTTGAAACCTGCTTTGTTGGGAAGAAGTTTGTCTTCAGAATTAAGGTGACGGTTCTGCTTGGCATAAATCTTTTAGGAAACGTGCAATTTAAGCGTGACGGATAATTTGCTTTGTTGGGCAAGCTTCTGGGCGTGCAGGCTCAGGTTTCTGGTTTAAATTATGAGCATCCTCGTAATTGCCATTTGACAGCCTGAAATAAGAGCTCCAGTCACTGGAACATTGATTCTATCTCGATCCAGGTGCATGTTCTCATGTTTATAATGTTGAGTCTCAAGTTGTACAAGACTATAATCCCCGTGCAGAACTGCTTAAATGCTATAAACCCTCTCCAGGGATCAACAACACAACAATCTGTGGACACCTGGACATCCATGTTCCTCCAAATAGCAGCGCCTATTACAATAATACAATATCAACTTTATTGTCACTTTGAATGTACACCAATCGGCATACACCAAAATAAAATTAACTCCCCAGATTAAATAGCACTTAGCAGTAGCAATAGCACTTAGATTTATATACCGCTTCACATTGCTTTTACAGCCCTCTCTAAGCGGTTTACAGAGTCCGCATATTTGCCCCCCCCCCCAAACCTGGATCCTCATTTTACCGACCTCGGAAAGAGGGAAGGCTGAGTCAACTTTGAGCCCGTCAGGATCGAACTGCTGGCAGTCGGCAGCCAGCAAAATTAGCCTGCAATGCTGCGTTCTAACCACTGTGCCACCACCGCTCATAAATACATATTTTGAAAAAGTTTTTAAATACATTTTTAAATACATTTTTTTGAAAAAGAAAAGGGTGGAAGTTCACAAGGACACCAGCTTTTCGGCTGATTTCACGGGGTTTGAGTCGCCATGAGCAGGTAGGCGGCAGCATAAATTTCCCAAATACATAAATGCAACTTCCTTTTACTCTGGATCCAGAACTGTAGCTAAGGTTTCCTAGGTCTAATTTAAACCAGCCAGCTTCAAGTAATTAACAGTTTGAAATTGGCTGACGCGGACAACATGATAAAACAAGTTTCTGAATCCTCTCCTGTCTGGTGGGAGAGCAGAGGAAAGCAGTCCAGGTCTAGAAATTTAATTTAATAAATTAAATAACTTTGAGAGAACCAATTCCGTTTCTTTGCAGAGTTCCGACAGGCCCGGTGTGGCTAGCTTATTGCAAAATGGCTGCCCAACGGAGAGAAGCACCAAAACCTTCGTTGCCTCTGAAATGTTCGTACCCCATCCTGAGCTTGTGGGCCACACCGTTCTCCACTACATGGAGCAGCAGCGATGTTCTCAATTGAAGCAGAGGCACGGGGCTTTATGGCTTCCGGATCACGTCACGGCATCCGATCATCCAAGTAGGGAATTAAAGAGCCTGCCTCTCTGGGACGATTTGGATGTGACTCAATCCAGTCATAGAAATGATTTTTCCGCCTTCTGGCCTCACTCGTTCGGACTAAGCTGGTCGTCCACTTCATCAGAAAACGGGGAACATTCGGCGGCTTTCGTTTCGTGCCAGGCTACCTCGGAGCAGCAAAAATGCGAAGGTGGATCTGTTACGTCACAGAGACACTTGGTTTACAACCTCGGGGGCCAAAGTCTGGCGCAGGATAAAGGATATGTACAAGAAGATAAGATGTCTTGTTTGTATCCTTCTCCACAAAGTGTCACCGCTAATGACAAACCAGGAAGCAGATCTTCCACAAGAAGAAAAGATGGCGATCCACTAGAAAGGCCCTTAGCATTGGCGCAGAAAGATTCTTCATGCAGAATTAGCATCCAGTCCAGCCTTGCTGGGCTAACAAATCCACAGCCCCCTTTGCCCCACCAGAGACCTAAGGAACGCCTGGCTTCCACATCTTCTGCTGATGCTACGGGAGGGGTAACCTCTCAAGAAGCCTCCTTTGAAGGCTTAACGGAATTTCTTGCCGAACTTGACAATCACAGCTGCACTGCTGATTTAGCAAACGGTCAAGAGCAGCGTTCTGCCTCAGGCCCCCGTGAAAAATCAGGTGAAGACAAAGAGAGCAAGCTGCTCGCGGAAGAACAAGACTATTCTTTGAGAAGAAGGGATGTCTACTGTTCCCCACTGGCGGGTTCCAGTTGCCCCAAGGCTAATTTTGATGCTTCGGCAGATCTTTTTGATATTAGTGCCAGGGGATCATCAAAAACCCCTTCAGCAACGTTACACGGGCCCCAAATAGTCACGCCGTGGGCTGGTGCCCTGACCCCAAACAGCACAACATCAGAATTCATGGCAAGGCAAGGCAAGGTAAATGGTAGCTGGAATAATTCTAATTATGGGTTATCTTTCCATGATGCAGTGGGCGCCTCCGCCCCCAAAACAAGCACTCCGATTGCTGGATCGTTGTTCAAGTCAGAATGCAGCCTTGTAGGTACTCTGGATTTCTCTGCTGGTCCCCACTCCATTCCCCTCGCCAGGCCTTATCATCCAGACAGCCTCCTTGCAGGGAAAGGACCCATTCTAAGTGATTTGCCCCTGAATAAATTGTCTTGGGACAAGGCCAAGTGTAAAAGGCCTAGGCTCCCCTTTCAAAACCCTTTAGTAAAACAGCTGATCAGCAAGTTCTCGAGGTCTACAAGGTCAAGCAATGCAGAAGCTGGCACGGTCAATCCATGTGGACCTCCGGAGTTATTTGTGAGTCGCCTCTCGGCCAAAGGGCTACAGTCTAAAGATGGTGGCCAAGAATGGAGTCCTCCATCAGAGAAAATTCAAGATCGGGATGTAAAATTGCAGAGGAGGAAAAGCTTAGGCGGGTTTCACAGCGATTCTCCTCTTTTTGAAAAGCAAGGAGGGTGCTTGAGTCCAAGCAATCTTTCCAGATTAGCAAAGGTCTGCTTTCTTCCAAAAAAGCCACAACCGGAAGAAGCTGGCATTGAGGGCCAACCGACGTGTCAACAGACAACGATGCTTGGGCCGCCAGTCACTGAATCGCTTGACAAGCCATCTTTTGTAGACCTCAGCCGATCAAAGCTGTTTCCCACACCTTCTTCGCCCGTGCCTCAGGTTGCCGACTGGTCTTCCGAACTCTTCCCGGATCATGACCACCTGCCCAACCCGGAGACCACCGTATCACAGCCAACCTCTTGAAGACCCACTTCATTTTGAAATACGACTTTTTGGTCACAGTTGTACTTTGAGCACGGTTTCGATAGTTGTAAATTTGGGGCCGAGGGCAGCAAAAGCTTGGCTTTTTAAAAAAATAAAATAAAATACTGTATATAGCCAGGTTTTGCTCCTATTCCGTCTGATCATTCTAAGGAATGGAATATGAGCCTTGAAGGACTCTTTCCTAGAAAGGTAATGGTAGTTATGACAAGGTCTGTCCCCTAGGCCAGGGGTAGGCAACCTTGGCTCTTTTATGACTCGTGGACTTCAACTCCCAGAATTCCTGAGCCAGCCATGCTGAGGGGACAGAGAGAGGTTTCCAAGCTGAGCCACGCTGGCTCAGGAATTCTGGGAGCTGAAGTCCCCAAGTCATGAAGGGGCCATAGTTCCCCCATGCTGGCTGAGGAATTCTGGGAGCTGAAATCCACAAGTCATGAAGGTGTCAAAGTTTCCCTCATGCTGGCTGAGGAATTCTGGGAGTTGAAGTCCACAAGTCATGAGGGGGCCAAAGTTTTCCCCATGCTGGCTGAGGAATTCTGGGAGTTGAAATCCACGAGTCATAAAAGAGCCAAGGTTGCCTACCCCTGGCCTAGGCTTATGTGATCATGATTTTAGGACCTTCTCTGCCAGCTTCCATAAGCAAAGTCATTGGGGAAGCTAGCAGGAAGTCAGATGCTGCAGTCATGCGAGATCCTCACTTGATGACCCACCCATTGTTTAACCGTGGTAACCAGGATTCCTGGAACTGCTACCGCTAAGCAACATGACCACATTGTTTTCTTTGACTATAAAGCATGTTGCTTAATGGCAGACTTTCTGCTTCCAACTAGAGTGGTTAAACAAGAACCGCCTGTACCTGTCTACTATTTTGATATTATAAATCACTGGAAGCCCTTTCAGACTATGGCTGTATATACAAGAACCATAAATCAAATAAAGTAATAAATCTATGGCACAGGATTGTAGACATTCATGATTAATCGCAGCTTGGAAGGAGCTTTCAGTTCACATAAATCTGTGGTCCTGTGAAGGCTAACAGTCTTCTTTTCCCTCAACGGTGCAAGTCGTATTTTAGCCCTAAAATTGTATTCAGGTAGTCTTCGACTTACAACTATTCATTTAGTGACTGTTCAAAGTTACAGCGGCGCTGAAAAAGGTGACTTATAACTGTTTTTCACACGATCGTCGCCGCTAGTGATCGTGTGATCAAAATTCAGAGGCTTGGCAACTGGCATGTACTTACGACGGTTGCCGTGTCCAGTGGTCACATGACCACCTTTTGCCTGACAAGCAAAAGTCAACAGGGGAAGCCAGATTTACTTAACAACCGTGTTACTAACTTAACTGCAGGGACTCACTACAGTGGCAGGAAAAGTCATAAAATGGGGCAAAACTCGCTTAACAATTGTCTTGCTTAGCTCAATTATGGTTGTAAATCGACACGTGATTGGAGATTTCTTCTCTGTTCATTAATAAATGAACATTGGAAGCCATATTCTACATCTGAAAGGCAGGATAACTCCATGATTTTTATAGCAGTAATGTTGGGATTTTGGAAGGAAAAAAAAACACCTGCAAGGGAAAAAAAAACCAACCAGCACTTTTAAAATGTCAGCTTTATTCTCAAAAAGGCTAAATTTTTAGCAGCTTTTATTTTAATGCAAAAGGGGACATCAGTCATCGTTTGAGCACAACTCTAGCCCCCCCCCCAAACATCCTGTGCTAGCCGGCCCTCTTGAATTTAGGATACCACTGCTTTTGCTGGAAGCCGATGTGCCCGTTGGTAAAACCACTTCTTCTTTGAATGCCGTACCAAAAACCTGATTTGCTTCTTCCAGTTGCCCAAATTAAGTGATGCTAAATACGGAACAGCCATATAATACTAATCTTAATAACCCGTTGTGAGTCCGTTGCCTTCCAGGCAGTTTCTCTGTCTCTTCAAGGTGTACAAGTGAAGCACCGACAATGGAGGAAGTCTGCATTGATTGACTCCTTCAGTTCGACATTCTGAGTGTTGAATTTGCAAGCTCCCACGGTAAGACTCTTGTGTGTCGTCCTTCCAACACCGAGGCCTTGGTTCAAGGGTATTGCCTAAAACCGTTCTTTGCATACGCACACAAGCGCACAACACACGAGCACGCACGCCCACACACAGTGAAGCCCAAGTACAGCAAGCCGACGAATCTCCCCGTGACTGGGAAGAGGGCGTGCATTTCTGCCTTTGTAAATTGCTTTTCAGAGCTACATATTCTGCAAGATGATCATAGCCTCGATAAAGCTGTCTAAAAGGTTTAGAACATGCTATTTTTTCCCCCCCTCGACCATATAGGAAACCCTTTTGTAATTGTACACACCCTTTCCAAGAAGACGGACAAATTCTAGAGCTGGTGCTACTGTTCTAGTTAAAAGCAGGGATTCAGCGGTTACAGGCTACCTGCTATGGTGAGCAGCTCATGTCTAGAGGGACTTGGAGACCTTCCTAGGACAAACACAGGACATCGACGCCCAGTTCCTGAAACGCATCAACAATAATTACATTTGTGCATAGGTATCACCCCAGCCTCAAAACAACCGCATCTGAAGCCCAGATTTCCAGGATCCAGCATTTCTCATAAAGAAGCTATTTTGGCTAAGTCCAAGATAGGTGGAGTGGTGTTTAACCAGCTCTTTTCTGTAAGGAACAAAGTGGAAACCCCACCATATGGCAAAATGTCGAGAGGCAACGTTTCAGAACACTTATTTGATCACAGATGCAGGGATGATAGTGGCCAACTTTTAAATTTCGTAACATAGCTCTCTACTTGGAACAAGCACTGCCAGGCTGGTTTGAACCAACCCCAAAGCTGCTGTATTTACGATCAATACTTCTCCCAAGGACATGCCTCCTGACTGTGGAGAACACAGCAAGCCGACCACAGCTGAAATTTACCTTCGGGAATACAAGAACCAAAAGAGCAGCCATCCAATCTCAACCCTGCCGGTTACAAACGACCAGCCTATCCCTTTTTAATTTCCATGTTTATCAAAATGCCAGAAGACAGATGCATTAATACTTAGGGGTGGTGGTGGTGGTGGTTTCCCAAAAAAAAAAGAAAATCACATACGCACACAACACGCACACTTGGTGGAGTTTGTGCCGAACAAAATGGCACTCTGGGTCACGGTTTATATACAAGTGTTGTCAACTTAGTTGGCAACCCAGAGCCATTTTTCTAACGCGCCTCTCAATTTCCTTCCGCGAAGATGCGAAAGGTCTCGTGCAGGCCCAATTCACCCTGGATTTCCACGGGAAAGGGTCCCAGATGCTTCCAAGAAGTGAAAACCATGACCTGACCAGCTGATCCCTAGCACCTTTTTGAATCCTAATTCTCCTCCAGATTTCGGGGCTCCGGGGTGGGGGATGTGTTAAAAAGGGGGGGAAAAAAAAAAGGATTATATTCTAGGCTGACCCTGCAGACAAATGACCAGCCTGGCATGCTTCATGATCGGGCGTCTGACTATCTCCACCAGTCAGACCGGGTCACGGCAGCCTTTGCCTCCAGAGAAGAGGCCTGGAGAAGGAGCGGTCATAACTCTTGGGGTTCAAAATGCGGTCAGTTAAAATTGCAACAAGTCAAATAGCTGATACTTTTCCCTTCGCCCGGCAAGGGAGACTCCACATTGTTCAGCAGGGTGTTCTGCCTCGCTTCGCTGATCAGCCGACAAGCCAAGTCCAAAAACAGTTTTTCCACGTTATCGGATTCTTTTGCGGACGTCTCCAGATAGTACATATCCTGGGCTCGGGAAAACTCTTCAGCTCTTTGTTGGGAGACTTCTCGCTTATCGGACAAATCAATCTTGTTTCCTAGAGAACCAAACGGGGGAAAATATTAGGATCGAGAAAGTCATGACGCTAACAGCTGAACAAAGAGTAGTGGTTCTTATTGAGCTGAATATCAACTATGTAAGAGGGGGGGGGAGAGAGACAGGAGCTTGATAAAAATCAGATTTGGGTGGCCCCAAGTATGGAGAAATGTGGTCCAGAGTCAACAGGAGGGAGGGGTAAAGAGTAAAGAGGAAGCTTGGAATATTTGGGATGCAGGAAAAGGGCAAAGATGGACCCACCCTAGCCATTCACAGAGAATATCTAATGCTTATGCAGATTGTTGCTTTAATCCAGTGGTTCTCAACCTTTTTAATGCTGCGACCCCCAACCGGTTGTAAGTCGAGGACTAAACCGGTCGTAAGTTGAGGACTAAACCGGTCGTAAGTCGAGGACTAAACCGGTCGTAAGTCGAGGACTACCCAGCCGGTCGTAAGTCGAGGACTTTCCCTGCCTGGGAGCACCGCGCATGCGTGGTTCCGCCCCCTGCGCCGGCCGAGGCGTAGCTGGCAAGCAGCAGAGACGGAGCAGACACCAGCTGGCCCAGCTCAAGGGAGGTAAGGCACCCGCCGGAAAAGGGGAAAAAAATGGTGGACAGCCTTGCTTGGCAACCCCCGTGAAATGGTCGATCGACCCCAAATGGGGTCGCGACCCATAGGTTGAGAACCGCTGCTTTAATCTGGCAAGATGTAGGAGATGACCAGGCTGAGTCTGAGGGAGGAGGGGTCAAGCGCGTCATCAGTTTGGAATCCCTTTGCGCTCACAAGAGACCGAAATCCAGCCCACCTTGAATTCCATTGATTTTTTTTTATCGACTGCCAATTTGCTTTTGACTGTTAGTAGTTCAGATTCTTGTAGAGAACGTTAGCATGCCATAAACCTGAAGTCATTTGAACCGCCTTGCTTCCTGATTTAATTGCGCCTGACCCAGGTCCCTGGCATCGAACAAACATGCCAATGTTTCTTACCAACTAGGACGGTGATGACTTTATTGCTAGCATATTGCTCAATTTCCCGTAGCCATTCGGAGAGGCACCGGAAGGACTCTTCGCAGGTGATGTCATAGGTCAGGATCAACGCGTTGGCACTGCGATAATAGCTCTGCGTAATGGAACGAAACCTTTCTTGCCCCGCTGTGTCCCAGATCTGCAGCTTTTGTTTTCCGCGCAACAGGGAAGGAGAAGAAAGGGGAAACAAAGGGTTGGGAAAAGGAAAAAAGAATGAATGCGTTAGCATTGACCTCCAACAAAAACCTGTGACCTCTTTCCTAGTCCACCAATCCTCCGGGTGTACCCATCCATATCAAGTGTCCACCTCTTATTTCTTTCAAAACTTTTAAATTGAAAAGAAAAGTATAACATACAAAAAGAAGCCAAGAAAAAAGAAAGGGAAAAAGTATTGATAAAGGAGAATATTCGTAGTTCAGGGTTGAAATGAGGCGTCCTTGTTGCTCTCTGAGCTTGATTGGTTTTTTTGTGTTTTTTTGCAGATGTTTCATTACCCAACTAGGTAACATCATCAGTGCTAGAAGGGAGTGGGGTTAGCACTGATGATGTCACCTAGGCAGGTAATGAAATGTCTGCAAGTGAACAGCCAAGCTCAGAGAGCACAAAGGGTCCTCAAAGTCAACCTATCCTCCCACCAAAACATTTATTGGCACTCAAAGCAAGTGACACGCCAACTTTAAGGTTTATTCTCCAAAGATTTTAGCTGGATGAACTCTGTCTTCTTTTATCTGGCCTCTCTCTCTTTTTTTTTTAGTCTTCTCTTTTTAAAAATAAAAATAAAAATGCCGCACTAGTTCTGATTTTGCCTGTTGTTTGTTTGACCGAATTTTAATAACTTGTTTTTCATGTTTTGGAAAGAGAAAAGTTAAGTATACAATGAATTCAGCAAATCCCCAGATTAAAGTCTCCAGAGCTACGGGCCAATATAATTAATAAATGAGAGCCAACGTCAACTACTTAAAAGGAAGCTTTGTTATGGAGCATTGTTTAAAGTAATGTATACAGTATGTGCAAAGTATTTTTCTTCCTAAGCAAGCAGAAGATTGCCTTTCCATTTAAACAATGAATGTTGTTCTCTGACCATTTGCCTCCCATTTAATGTACCTATATTAAAATTGCAGTATTTGCTATTTTACAGAACATTCCTACCTGTCTTATCATGGCTTCTTAACTATAAATTACACGGGACTGTAGACTAAATCAATGGAGCGGTAGACAGTCTGACTACTAATACCCAACATCCAAGCTGGATATGCAACGAATTCTAATAATATATCCTCATCTTTTAACCCAGAAGTGAGGAACTATGACCTCTATATGACCTGTGGACTTCAACTCCCAGAATTCCTGAGCCAGCATGGGGGAATTATGGCCCCTTCATGACTTGTGGACTTCAACTCCCAGAATTCCTGACCCAACATGGGGGAATAATGGCCCCTTTATGACTGGTGGACTTCAACTCCCAGAATTCCTGGGCCAGCATGAGGGAATTATGGCCCCTTTATGATTGGTGGATTTCAACTCCCAGAATTCCTGAGCCAGCATTGGGGAATTATGGCCCCTTTATGACCGATGGACTTCAACTCCCAGAATTCCTGAGCCAGCATAGGGAAACTATAGCTTCTTTATGACCGATGGACTTCAACTCCCAGAATTCCTGAGCCAGCATGGGGGAACTATTGCCCCTTTATGACTGGTGGACTTCAACTCCCAGAATTCCTGAGCCAGCATGGGGAAATTATGGCCCCTTTATGACCGGTGAACTTCAACTCCCAGAATTCCTGAGCCAGCATAGGGAAACTATAGCTTCTTTATGACTGGTGGACTTCAACTCCCAGAATTCCTGAGCCAGCATGGGGGAACTATTGCCCCTTTATGACTGGTGGACTTCAACTCCCAGAATTCCTGAGCCAGCATGGGGAAATTATGGCCCCTTTATGACTGGTGGGCTTCAACTCCCAAAATTCCTGAGCCAACATGGAATAATGGCCCCTTTGTGACTGGTGGACTTCAACTCCCAGAATTCCTGAGCCAGCATGAAGGAACTAGGGCCTCTTTATGACTTGTGGACTTCAACTCCCAGAATTCCTGAGCCAGCATGGGGAAATTATGGCCCCTTTATGACTGGTGGGCTTCAACTCCCAGAATTCCTGAGCCAGCATTGGGGAATTATGGCCCCCTTATGACTTGTGGACTTCAACTCCCAGAATTCCTGAGCCATTATGGTTGGCTCTGGAATTCTGGGAGTTGAAGTCCACCGCTCACAAAGGGGCCATAGTTCCCCACTCCTGTTTTAACTGGATGTATTCTTTGCCAAGATGCCAACCTGCCAGCTTATTCCATCAGCCATGCCCACTTTTTAGATACCCCATTCGCTTCCTTACTCCCGACTTCCTATGTTACTTTTACTATGATCACCTCCATTTTGTGCCTAGGGAGACAGTGCAGTTTTAACAGGGTGTGCGGGTAGTCCTCGACATACAGCCGTCATTGAGCCAGGAATTAAGGTCCTAAGTCATGCCGCTTGTTAAGTAGATTCAACACGTGGCCCCACCCAATTTCGCAACCTTCCTGGCTGTGTGGTTAAGAGAATCACCACAATCAATAAGCAAAGGCCTTAGTTAAGCAAAGGTGGCAATGCATTAAGAGGATCTGGAAATTTTTTCCCCCTGGAAATCAGAAGACAACACCAGTATCTGGGAAGGAAAAAATGTCATAAATCATGGTCAAATGATCACAGAATGCAAATGCGATCACATGACAGTGGAGGAGGATGCCCCAGACATCAAAACTTTAAATCTGGGTAATAGGTAACCTTGGGTAGGTCTGTGGTAACTTCAAATAGTTGCTAAGCAACCAGTCGTAAATCGAGGCCTACCATCGAATCTTTGGATCTGGGTCATAAGCAACCCTGGAGAGGTCTGTGGTAACTTCAAATGGTTGCTAAGCAATCAGTCGCAAACCGAGGACTACCACCGAAGGTCTGGGTCACACGTAGCCCTGGGGAGGTCTGGCGCAACTTCAAGTGGTTGCTATGCAACCAGTCGTAAACCGAAGACTACCGTCGAAACTCTGGATCTGGGTCACACGTAGCCCTGAGGAGGTCTGCGGCAACTTCAAATGGTTGCTACGTGAACAGCCGTAAACTGAGGACTACTATCGAAGCTCTGAATCTGGGTCACATGTAGTCCTGAGGAAGTGTGGGGTAACTTCAAATAGTTGCTAAGCAACCAGTCGTAAACCGAGGACTACCGTCAAAACTCTGGATCTGGGTCACACGTAGCCCTGGGAGGTCTGCAGCAACTTCAAATGGTTGCTATGCAGCCGTAAACTGAGGACTACCATCGAAGCTCTGAATCTGGGTCACAGGTAACCCTAGGGAGGTCTGTGGTAACTTCAAACGGTTGCTAAGCAACCAATTGTAATTCGAGGATTACCTCTACTCCTTCACCACCCTATTAAGGGTTTCCTTAATTTCTAGAGCTAGCTGTTACCCCTTTTTCTTATCTTTCAGGACTCATAGGGGTACTAATCCCATCCCTGTTTTACAAGTAGTCCCTGATTTACAACCGTTCGTTTAGTGACCATTCAAAATTACAGTGGCACTAGAAAAAGTCACCAATAACCGTTTTCCACATGTATGACCTTTGCAGCATCCCCATGGTCACGTGGTCAAAATTCAGACACCCGGCAACTAACTCCTATTTATGACGGCTGCATATGGTCACGTCATCCCCTTTTGCGACCTTCTGACCAGCAAAGTCGATGGGGGAAGCCAGATTCGCTTAACGACCGTGTGACTAACTTAACCACTGCAGTGACTCACTTAACAAATGTACCTAGGAAAGGTCGTAAAATGGAGCAAAATTCACTTAACAACCATGTTGCTTAGCAAGAGAAATTTTGGGTTCAACTGGCGGTCGACCTGTATTCCCCAGCTTTGTTTTTATTTTTAACTTTTGTTTTATTTTGTTTACTGTTTATTAATATCCCGCCTTCAGTGTTTTTCACAAATAGCTCAAAGTGGCAAACACACACAATAGAATACTCCTTCTTCTTCCTATTTTTTTCCCCACAATAACAACCCTGTGAGGTGATTTGGACTGAGAGAAAGAGAGAGACACTGACTGGCCCCAAAGTCATGCGGCTGGCTTTCGGGACTAAGGCGGGATTTGAACTCACGACCCTCGTGACTTAACCTCCTAGACCAGGGGTCCTCGACCTTGGCAACTTTAAGACTTGTGAATTTCAGCTTCCAGAATTCTGGGAGACAAAGTCCACAAGTCTTAAAGTTGCCAAGCTTGAGGACCCCTGCCCTAGAGCAGTGGTTCTCAACCTTTTTAATGCCACGACCCCAACCGGTCGTAAGTCGAGGACTAAACCGGTCGTAAGTCGAGGACTAAACCGGTCGTAAGTCGAGGACTAAACCGGTCATAAGTCGAGGACTACCCAACCGGTCGTAAGTCGAGGACTTTCCCTGCCCGGGAGCGCCGCACATGCATGGTTCCGCCCCCTGCGCCGGCCGAGGCGTAGCTGGCAAGCGGCAGAGACGGAGCAGGCCGACCACCAGCTGGCCCAGCCCAAGGGAGGTAAGGCACCCGCTGGAAAAGGGGGGAAAAATGGCAGACAAAAAAAATGGCGGACAGCCTTGCTTGGCGACCCCCATGAAATGGTCAATCGACCCCAAATGGGGTCCCGACCCACAGGTTGAGAACCACTGCCCTAGAGCAAAATGGCTCTCTTTTCTAACGCAGATCGTGATTGCACAATTGCCCCCCTTAACTTGGAATTCAAACCACATAAATATTGTTTTCATGCCCTTTTCAGCAATTCTGGCTGAGCAAAGAGACTGTTGTTTCAGCTTTGCTCGTGAAGTGCTGAGTGCAGCCCTTGGCTTTTAGCAGGAGAACCAAAAAAAAAACAACTGAAGCCACTCAATTCCTACCGAAGGAAAACAACCACAGATGCTAAGCTGCATGCTGAGCCAAGCCTAGCCGAAACCATCATGAAGTCAGCAGTTAATGGGTCTCCGGTTTAAGGAAGCCTATCCAAAACTGGTCCCTTCCAGATGCTTTTGGGACCTGGGGCGGGGGACAAGCTTTGGGAGGGAAAGAATTGGCTCCTTCTGTTAAGCTCCAAAAATCATCACGGTGGCTTACATTAGTTCGAAGAAACAAAACTCCCCTTGCCCTTGCTTGTAATCTAAAAGGACACAAGACCAAAAGAAATGGAGACGAGGAAAAAAGAAAAGAACACGCATTTTCTGAAGATCAGTTTTGAAAATGGCAAAGTTCTGAAAATAATCAGCTTGAAAGGGCCAAGAGAACAAAGCAACAATCTCCAGCACTTCTTCTTTTTCTTCCTTTTTTCTTTTCCTTCCTTTTTCTCCTTCCTTCCTTCCTTTTCTTCCTTCCTTTCCCTCCTTGCTTCCTTTTTCTCCTTCCTTTCTTCCTTCCTTCCATTTCCTTCCTTCCTTTTTTCTTCCTTCCTTCCTTCCGTTTCCTTCCTTTTTCTTTTCTTTCTCCTTCCTTCCTTCCATCTTTCCTTCCTTCCTTCCTTGCTTTTTCTCTTTTCTTTCTCATTCATTCATTCATTCATTCATTCATTCATTCATTCCTTCCTTCCTTCCTCCCTCCCTCCCTCCCTCCCACCCTCCCTTTTCCTTTCCAGTGTTTATGATTTTAACAAATACCTCAAGGTGGCAAACATATCCAATACACCTTCCTCCTCTTATTTTTTCCCACAGCAACAACCCTGTGAAGTAGATTGGACTGAGAGAGAGTGGCCCAAGGTCACCCCGCTGACTTTCACGGCTAAGGTGGGACTTGAACTCATGGCCTACCCACTATCTATCCTTGGCCCTTAATCACTAGATTAAACTGATTTCACTAACAAGAGAAGAATGGCTTGATGTAATCCCATTCTTGAGACCCCCTCCCCTGGAAGCCAGGGCCAAACCTTGAGGAGCAAATAACCCGAAGCCACTACATATAATCTGCTTTTTTTCCTATGTGAAATTTGGTCTTTGAGACCATTTTATATTTCAATCTTTTTTGTGGGGGACTTTGTTTTCTTGTTTTGGGATGAACACCCTCCAAATGGTGTGGGGAGTATGAACTGATTTCCAGAAAACATTGCGGACTACAGGAACCATTTGTGCTTCTCTTTGAGATGCAGACCGCACAGACTCATCCCCAACAGCCTGTGTGCCTGTCTTCAACAGTGACACACAAAACACTCTGCAGCCAAGAAGGCTCCACACCCATTTGCACTTCTCAGGTGACCCTGAGGTCACAGATAAACCTCCCAATGGCCTCAATGACTCTAAAACACACGTCACACTCGCGACGTCATGTGACATCACGCGACATATCGGAGCTTTTTCCCCATTGCTGGCAATGGGGCGGGTGCAGTTTTGTCGTGATGCGTCCGGCCCATGGGCCGACAGTTTGACACCCCTGCTCTAAAAGGATGCAAATGACCAGTTGTCTCCAGGGAATATTGTATAAATCCTTCCATACTTCACAATCCAGTCAGAGCTAACAAGCTTCTTGGATGTGAAGCAAAAGGTCTTTAAAGAAAAACAAGAAAGTCCAATTGCCTCCTGAAAAAGCACCTTTGGGGACAACGGATGGAAACTAATCAAGGAGAGAAGCAACCTAAAAGTTAGGAGAAATTTCCTGACAGTGAAAAGAATTAACCAGTGGAACAACCTGCCTCCAGAAGTTGTGGGTGCTCCATCACTGGAGGTTTTCAAATAGCCAGGTCATAATTGAAAGCTTTCCCCCCCCCCAATCTAGTTTCAGACTGTTGGATTGGAGACTAAATTGGACTGTTGGATTGGAGACTAAGTTCCACATGGGAAGCCTACCGTGTTTCCTTTAAGTTGTCCTCAGTTGCAACGTACACATTTGGAACATAAACAGATACCAAGCTGAGGCAGAAACGATCAGCAAGGACTTACCTTTACTTTCTCGCCATTTATCTCCACTGTCTTAATCATAAAGTCAACCCCAATGGTGGCTCCTTGGCCCGGTGGGAAAAGTCCCTTAACAAACGAAGAAAATAAAATATTCAGACAACACTTTCAGCTCTAGATCAAAGTGTGGCATGCTGTTGTTTCAGGTTTGGATTAGCTCAGTACAGACAGTCCTTGATTTATAACCATCCGTTTAGCATCCATTGGACGTTACCGTGGCACCGGAAAAAGTGACTTGCAACTGGTCCTCCCACTTACGTCCATCGCAACGTCTGCATGGTCATGTGATCAAAATTTGGGCGCTTGGGGCAGACAACCAATCCAGCCTACCTCACAGGGATACTATGGTCCCTTCATGACTCGTGGACTTCAACTCCCAGAATTCCTGAGCCAGCATGGGGGGAACTATGGTCCCTTCATGACTCGTGGACTTCAACTCCCAGAATTCCTGAGCCAGCATGGGGGAACTATGGCCCCTTCATGACTCGTGGACTTCAACTCCCAGAATTCCTGAGCCAGCANTTGCCAAGCTTGAGGACCCCTGCCCTAGAGCAGTGGTTCTCAACCTTTTTAATGCCACGACCCCAACCGGTCGTAAGTCGAGGACTAAACCGGTCGTAAGTCGAGGACTAAACCGGTCGTAAGTCGAGGACTAAACCGGTCATAAGTCGAGGACTACCCAACCGGTCGTAAGTCGAGGACTTTCCCTGCCCGGGAGCGCTGCACATGCATGGTTCCGCCCCCTGTGCCGGCCGAGGCGTAGCTGGCAAGCGGCAGAGACGGAGCAGGCCGACCACCAGCTGGCCCAGCCCAAGGGAGGTAAGGCACCCGCTGGAAAAGGGGGAAAAAATGGCAGACAAAAAAAATGGCGGACAGCCTTGCTTGGCGACCCCCATGAAATGGTCGATCGACCCCAAATGGGGTCCCGACCCACAGGTTGAGAACCACTGCCCTAGAGCAAAATGGCTCTCTTTTCTAACGCAGATCGTGATTGCACAATTGCCCCCCTTAACTTGGAATTCAAACCACATAAATATTGTTTTCATGCCCTTTTCAGCAATTCTGGCTGAGCAAAGAGACTGTTGTTTCAGCTTTGCTCGTGAAGTGCTGAGTGCAGCCCTTGGCTTTTAGCAGGAGAACCAAAAAAAAACCAACTGAAGCAACTCAATTCCTACCGAAGGAAAACAACCACAGATGCTAAGCTGCATGCTGAGCCAAGCCTAGCCGAAACCATCATGAAGTCAGCAGTTAATGGGTCTCCGGTTTAAGGAAGCCTATCCAAAACTGGTCCCTTCCAGATGCTTTTGGGACCTGGGGCGGGGGACAAGCTTTGGGAGGGAAAGAATTGGCTCCTTCTGTTAAGCTCCAAAAATCATCACGGTGGCTTACATTAGTTCGAAGAAACAAAACTCCTCTTGCCCTTGCTTGTAATCTAAAAGGACACAAGACCAAAAGAAATGGAGACGAGGAAAAAAGAAAAGAACACGCATTTTCTGAAGATCAGTTTTGAAAATGGCAAAGTTCTGAAAATAATCGGCTTGAAAGGGCCAAGAGAACAAAGCAACAATCTCCAGCACTTCTTCTTTTTCTTCCTTTTTTCTTTTCCTTCCTTTTTCTCCTTCCTTCCTTTTCTTCCTTCCTTCCTTCCTTTTCTTCCTTCCTTTCCTTCCTTCCTTTCCTTCCTTCCTTTTTCTCCTTCCTTCCTTTCGTTTCCTTCCTTCCTTTTTTCTTTCTCCTTCCTTCCTTCCATCTTTCCTTCCTTCCTTCCTTCCTTCCTTCCTTCCTTCCTTCCTTCCTTCCTTTTTCTCTTTTCTTTCTCCCCTTCCTTCCTTCCACGTCCTTCCTCCCTCCCTTCCTTTTCCTTTCCAGTGTTTATGATTTTAACAAATACCTCAAGGTGGCAAACATACCCAACACACCTTCCTCCTCTTATTTTTTCCCACAGCAACAACCCTGTGAAGTAGATTGGACTGAGAGAGAGTGGCCCAAGGTCACCCCGCTGACTTTCACGGCTAAGGTGGGACTTGAACTCATGGCCTACCCACTATCTATCCTTGGCCCTTAATCACTAGATTAAACTGATTTCACTAACAAGAGAAGAATGGCTTGATGTAATCCCATTCTTGAGACCCCCTCCCCCGGAAGCCAGGGCCAAACCTTGAGGAGCAAATAACCCGAAGCCACTACATATAATCTGCTTTTTTTCCTATGTGAAACTTGGTCTTTGGGACCATTTTATATTTCAATCTTTTTTGTGGGGGACTTTGTTTTCTTGTTTTGGGATGAACACCCTCCGAATGGTGTGGGGAGTATGAACTGATCTCCAGAAAACATTGCGGGCTACAGGAACCATTTGTGCTTCTGTTTGAGATGCAGACCACACAGACTCATCCCCAACAGCCTGTGTGCCTATCTTCAACGGTGACACACAAAACACCCTGCAGCCAAGAAGGCTCCACACCCATTTGCACTTCTCAGGTGACCCTGAGGTCACAGATAAACCTCCCAATGGCCTCAATGACTCTACAACACACATGTCAGACTCGCAACGTCATGTGACATCACGTGACATATCGGAGCTTTTTCCCCATTGCTGGCAATGGGGCGGGTGCGGTTTCGTCGTGATGCGTCCAGCCCGCAGGCCGACAGTTTGACACCCCTGCTCTAAAAGGATGCAAATGACCAGTTGTCTCCAAGGAATATTGTATAAATCCTTCCATACTTCACAATCCAGTCAGAGCTGAAGAAGCTTCTTGGATGTGAAGTAAAAGGTCTTTAAAGAAAAACAAGAAAGTCCAATTGCCTCTTGAAAAAGCACCTTTGGGGACAACGGATGGAAACTAATCAAGGAGAGAAGCAACCTAGAAGTTAGGAGACATTTCCTGACAGTGAAAACAATTAACCAGTGGAACAACCTGCCTCCAGAAGTTGTGGGTGCTCCATCACTGGAGGTTTTCAAATAGCCAGGTCATAATTGAAAGCTTTTTCCTCCCCCCATATAGTTTCAGACTGTTGGATTGGAGACTAAGTTGGACTGTTGGATTGGAGACTAAGTTCCACATGGGAAGCCTACCGTGTTTCCTTTAAGTTGTCCTCAGTTGCAACGTACACATTTGAAACATAAACAGATTCCAAGCTGAGGCAGAAACGATCAGCAAAGACTTACCTTTACTTTCTCGCCATTTATCTCCACTGTCTTAATCATAAAGTCAACCCCAATGGTGGCTCCTTGGCCCGGTGGGAAAAGTCCCTTAACAAACGAAGAAAATAAAATATTCAGACAACACTTTCAGCTCTAGATCAAAGTGTGGCATGCTGTTGTTTCAGGTTTGGATCAGCTCAATACAGACAGTCCTTGATTTATAACCATCCGTTTAGCATCCATTGGACGTTACCGTGGCACCGGAAAAAGTGACTTGCAACTGGTCCTCCCACTTACGTCCATCGCAACGTCTGCATGGTCATGTGATCAAAATTTGGGCGCTTGGGGCAGACAACCAATCCAGCCTACCTCACAGGGATACTATGGTCCCTTCATGACTTGTGGACTTCAACTCCCAGAATTCCTGAGCCAGCATGGGGGAACTGTAGTCCCTTCATGACTTGTGGACTTCAGCTCCCAGAATTCCTGAGCCAGCATGGGGGAACTATGGTCCCTTCATGACTTGTGGACTTCAAGTCCCAGAATTCCTGAGCCAGCATGGGGGAACTATGGTCCCTTCATGACTTGTGGACTTCAACTCCCAGAATTCCTGAGCCAGCATGGGGGAACTATGGTCCCTTCATGACTTGTGGACTTCAACTCCCAGAATTACTGAGCCAGCATGGGGGGAACTATGGTCCCTTCATGACTCGTGGACTTCAACTCCCAGAATTACTGAGCCAGCATGGGGGAATTATGGTCCCTTCATGACTTGTGGACTTCAACTCCCAGAATTCCTGAGCCAGCATGGGGGAATTATGGTCCCTTCATGACTTGTGGACTTCAACTCCCAGAATTCCTGAGCCAGCCTATCCCTGGCTTAGTTCATTCACATATTACCTCAAACCAACTGGGACTTTCCTTCTGCACTAAAATAGCCAGATCATATTTGAAAGCTTTTCCCCCCCAATCTGGTTTCAGACTGTTGGCACCAGAGTTTCCCAGAACGATTGTATACCTGGAGCCTGATCTATCAAAATTTTAAAAGGCCCTAACAACATCTTGACTGTCGGGAGGCTTGGTGAAGCTGGTTTAAGCATCAATTCTCTCTGCAGAAGGGTCTTGTTTTTTTTTTTCCAGTAAGGGTTTTAATGATTGCTTGAAAGGTTACCAGCCATTGTGAGGTTACTGGAGCCTCTGCATTTCAGCTGCGATCTCCAAATGGATCTGAGCGAGCAACTGTATTAATTATTGATGCTCTAATGCAGGGGTCTTCAAACTTGGCCCTCTTATGACTTGTGGACTTCAACTCCCAGAATTCAGCCAGGAAGGAAGGAAAACAAAAGGAGAGGGAGAGGGAGAGGGAGAGGGAGAGGAAGGAAGGAAGGAAGGAAGGAAGGAAGGAAGGAAGGAAGGAAGGAAGGAAGGAAGGAAGGAAGGAAGGCAAAGGGAGAGGAAGAGGAAGAGGGAGGAAGGAAGGAAAGAAAATAAAGAGAGAGGGAGGGAGGGAGGGAGGGAGGAAGGAAGGAAGGAAAGCAAAGGGAGAGGAAGAGGGAGGAAGGAAGGAAAGAAAATAAAGGGAGAGGGAGA